GCCCTTATGAGATAATGCTGGGGAAAATCACAAGTGCGCTCTTTTTCTAATGTAGTATCTGAGGAATGCAGGCTAGCTGCCACAGTGACTGTTCTGCAAAGCAGTTGGCTATTTCCTGTTTTCTCCTGCTTATTCCTATGTAAAGATTACTTGTCATGTGTTAAATAAATTCTTGGTCTATATATTAAAATGCTTATGTCCCACAGGCATTGTCTGCACTCTATGGCACTCTATGGCACAGCCACAGGGTCGGGGACGTGAACCGCAGTCGACTACGTGGGGGTCCAGTGACATAGCCATTATGCTAACTGCTGGTTCCCATTGAAGGCCACTTCTGACCCCTTTATAAGTTCTCGGAGTTTTGTTTTTGTTTTTGTTTTTTAATATTAAGAGCCTATTGGGACAGGAACTTGTTTTTTTTTTTTTTTGGAGAGATTTTTGCTATATGGTGCATGTGCTCACCAGACAGACAGAGCGAGACATTAGAGACAGAAAGTGAGAAATCACCCCCTAGGGGGATGGTCATGAGGCAATCTCTTCTGCTTCATTCTTCTCTCGGGATCTTGGGCACGCACGCACACACACCCGGTGTGAGTTTTAAGCCACTGGGTCTGGGATGTGAACCATGGTCGACCACGTGGGAGTCCAGCGACATAGCCATTAAGCTAACTGCTGGTCCCTGTTTTTATTTTTTAATATTAGGAGCCTATTGGGACAGGAACTGGTCTTTTGAAACAACTTTAAATTGAGTCATCTAAGAATTTTCTTAGATTTGTTCTGATTTGTGTGGAACCTTAAATTGTGAAAAGGACCTAAATTTGAATGTATCCTGTTAGTTTGTTTATCACCTGTAAATAACCTTTTATAACTATTTGTAAGTTTTGCAAAGTGTCTTCCTTGTCAGCTATAGAAAAGTTGAAGCTGGATGGGACCAGCAGTTAGCGTAATGGCTATGTCGCTGGACTCCCACGTGGTTGACCACAGTTCGAGTCCTGTACCTGGTGACTTAAACTAACGCCGGGCGCATGTGCGTCGTGCCCAAGATCCTGAGAGGAGAATGGAGGCGAGGGGATTGCGGTGTGACCATCCCCCCTGGGGGGTGATTTCCTGCTTTCTGTCTCTCTGTTTCTCTCTGTCTGGTGATTGTACATGCCTAATAGCAAAAATCTCTCCAAAAAAAAAAAAAAAAAAGAAAGAAAAAAGAAAAAGAAAAAAGGAAAAGAAAAGTTGAAGCTGGAGAGTAGATTTGTCAGATTGGTCCCAGTTTTTGAGAACACAGCCAAGTGGAGAGTTAGGAGGGGTAGAAGTTTGATTGCCTCTTTTGAAGATAAAACAGGGGGACACCAGAAGTTAGGAAGAAGGGAGACAGCTAGGGGCTCCATCCTTAACCTGCCCCTTTTCGGCATTCATTTGTCCCACTTCCTGCCTTGATTTTCACCTTACCAGGTCCCCCAACGACAGTTTCTCAACTCGTTTTCCACATCGAGACACCCAAAGCCAATTCTGGGACCCTCAGTATAGTCTGTCTCAATGTCAGTCTTAGGTGTAGATAGCTGATCAGTTTAAATTGACCTTCTGTTTAGTGAGTAAGCGTAGCAAGGGGCAATTGCAGTATTATAATCTAGTGGGCAGGTGAGCTTCATGGAGAAGCCTTTGAACAGGTTTTTCAAGTTTATCTCTCTTTCTCTCTCTTCTTTAAGCGTATAACCTGTATGTAGAACTAGAACTTTTAACTCTTAGCAAACTTAGCTTTTGGGATATACCAGCAGCTCCTGAACATGTATTTGATAAAAAGAAAAAAAAAGACTGTTTAACAGATTTCCGCAATGTAGAACAGAATAATTTGATTAATAGATCTAACCTAGTATTTTAATAAAATTTAAAGGCTGATAGTAGAACTACTTCAACTTCATGTTAATCAAGGCAAAGTAATTTATTTAAAGATGCCTCAGACATTTTATGATCTCTTATCATTTTAATTAAGCACAACCTTAAGATCTTAAATTATCTGAAAACTTTACTTGTAAATACCTTATTTGTAGTCCTTTAAATTTCCTTAAACAAATGTCTCGATTACCTATAAAAGCCAAGAAAAGGCTAGTCATCCATTTATTTTTCCTTTTAGATATCTTCCACGTAACATACAACGCTTAACATGTAAATACCAGTTGTTCCGTCACACCAGTCATATTAAGATAAATAGGATGATGCCTGATCAATAACATCTTGGACACTAAATACCGAGAAACAGAAATAAGAGTTCAAAAACAACTAAGAATATAGCCAACTTAATGGTAGGGAAGTCTAGAGTTGAGGTATCTTCCAGAATTTATAGGGCAAGATTGGACCACAACAGAAGAAAGATTAAGTACATGAGACTGAACTGGTGAAATAGAATTTATGACTTTTGATTAAAATATTACTAATTTTCTTCTATGCTTTATTTTCCAGATTAAAGAATTTTTGCCTTGTCTTGAGCTGCCGATAGGTACATGTACCCACTATTCAAACAGAATCCTAACCTGTTTCCTGGCTTTAAATTTTAAGCAAAGCTCTCTTAGCATTTTTTTATTTTGACTTATTAAAGCTAATACTGCTTTTCTTGAAATTAGAAAATATATTTTAAAATACCTATTTAATGACCATATCAAGCTCTATAGCATCAGCTAGGTGCTACTTCATAGTATATTCATTCTACTCAGAGTTTCACGCCTGAAATCAGACATGTGTTCACAGATATGTATATATCAGCTGAACTAGCTATTGAAAGTAGTTAGATTAATTAAGATATTTTATGAATCAATACAATCTGGGGGAAAAATAAAAAAAGGAATGGGAAGCAAGTGTAGACACAAGAGACAGTGTGGGAGGAGGGTGGAAAATGGCAGAGGGTGAAAAATAGGAAAAATAAACATATATATGTATAAATAAGAAATGGAAACTTATTTGTCAATGATAACATGTATGATTAAGCCACTATGCAATATATTCTGGACGGGAAATCACATTTTGTATGTTGTGATGATGCTCAGTGAATGAATGTAAAATTAATTAATTTAAAAAATCCTGGACAAAATATATGCTGGAATCTGTGAAGATTTTCAAGTACTAAATCTTTCTTTTTTTAAAAAAAATGTATACTTGAAACTGGCTGTTTGTCAAAGATTTATTCCAGTGAACTTGAAAAGCATTTAGATCCATTTATATGAACTCTTATTTATCAGCCAAATTGAATGTAATTCCTTAAGGTCTTTTATCATATAGATACATGACATACAGCATATAACATATATGTACCACACCGACAAAAAATTTCATAATACTTTTCGAATGTTATGTATGTTTTACTCTTTATTTCCTTTTAAAGACATTTTAGAGCTTAACGCTTAAATGTTTACTTTTCACCTCAGGTTTTGTGAGAAACAAAATAGAGTTTTTGAATAACCTTGAACTTATGGCAAAGAGGATCTGTAGAACTGAGAAAACTATGCATATAATCCTATACTTGCAGGTGTTGGATTGTTCTTGTTTAATATTTTTTCAAAAACCAAAGAAACATGCTTAAATCCAGCTATTAATATTTATTTGGACTGTCAGAAAATCTATTATGCAGATCAGTTTTTTTTTTTTTTTTTTTGGAGAGGCTTTTGCTATAGGGAGCATGAGCTTGTCAGAAAGACAGAAACAGAGAGACGCGAGAAATCAACCCCCAGGGGGGATGGCCATGCCACAATCCCTTCTCCTCCATTCTCCTCTCAGCATCTTGGGCACACATGCACACACACGTGCCCAGTGTGAGTTCAAGCCACTGGGTCTGGGACTCGAACTATGGTCAACTACATGGGAGTTCAGCGACATAGCCATTATGCCAACTGCTGGTCCCCCAAATCAGTTTCAATCTGTTTAAACTCACTAAGAGAAAAAGGGCTTATGAACTTGTAAACAAACTAAATTTTTTTTTCCAAACTCAACTGGAAGAGTATAGGAGAATCCAATATAGAGGACTAGAAGGAGCCGTTTCCGAGGAGCTAGCAGGGTGGGGGTCCTTACATCTTATCACGTGTGAGCCTGGGGACCCTGGCAGACTCTGAGCCAGTGGAGGAGAAGCGTGAGTTAAGATGGAATAAAGGGTACTCACATCTCTCAACACATAAAGACACTGTATGTATGGAATTTTTCTCATTTCCCCAGGTGTTTATAAAGGGATATAATTGCATAATAGTATTATAGTTAATATTTCTCTCTGGTTGACAAGCTTTCCGTCTTCCAATTTGTATTGTGGCCATGAATGAGTGCAACAGAAAATTAAGCATCTTTTTTTTTTCACGTTTGTAAGTCACAGGAATTTTAATGTTTTAGAGTACAATCCAAGGGAGTCAGTCTACTGCAGGAGGTGGTGGAGGGGGTATTTCTTATCTGTAAAAATAAGGGGAGACCAAAAGTGTCCCTTTCACTTTGCTCTTGTTCAGGAGACAGCAAATCGAGTCAGGCCTAATCTATTGCCTGGGAGAAGTAGGGGGTGGTGTCAATAACCCGAATATGCGATCAGTCTTACCTACACCAGCCACCATCCTAATGGTAAGATAGGAAATAAAAACCCAAATGGCCATGAGAGTCAGAGGGAAGGAGGGTGCGTGCCACTTTCTCATCTCCTCCCTACTTTTGCTTTAATCGTCCCCAAAATTGCAGCTGAGCCACACAGGAAATGACCATTAATGTGCCTCCTCTAAGCAACATCATCTGCAGTGTCAGTGTCACTCTTGCTGGAGACTGTTGTCCCCACAAAGACTGCAAGCTTTGGTTAGATATAACTTCTTTTTTTTTCTTTTTTTTGAGAGAGGTTTTTGCTATAGGGCGTGTGCACTCGCCAGATAGACAGAAAGAGACAGAGTGACAGGAAGCGAGAAATCACCCCCCAGGGGGGAAGGCCATGCTACAATCCCTTCTCCATTCTCCTCTCAGGATCTTGGGCTGGCACGCACAGTGCCTGGCATGAGTTTTAAGCCACTGGGTCCGGGACGCGAACCGCGGTCGACTACATGGAAGTCCAGTGACTTAGCCATCATGCTAACTGCTGGTCCCACTTCTTCTTTTTTTATTCAACAAATAGCTTTTAACTTTTTTTGTCAATTAAACATACCTTTTTTTTTCTTCCCCTGTTCCCCTCTCTTCCTTCTCCCTCCCTCTGTTACCCACCCCATCCTTACTATCTCTAGTATCTATGGTGCCCCTCCTGCTACCATACCGCCCAAACTTTCAGTTTCTCCCATAGAGTGCAGATAATGGTATATATTGAGTGGGGACATACAAAGTCTGTCTTTCATGGTCTGACTTGCTTTGCTTAGCATTAAGTCTTCCATGTTGGTTCACTTTGTACCAAATGTCAGGGTTTCATTATTTTTTATGGCTGAGTAGAATTCCATAGAGTACAGGTGCCACATTTTTTCAGAACCATCATCTACTTTTGGACATTTGGATTGATTCCATGTCCTAGAGATTGTAAATAAAGCTGCAATAAACAAGGATGTGTGTGTGTGTTTTTGTGAGGGTTTTTCTATCCTTTGTGTAAATATCTAAAAATGGAGTAACTGGGTCATATGGTAGTTCTATTTGTAGGTGTGTAAGGAATCTTCATATTGTTCTCCAAAATGGTTGCACTAATTTACATTCCCATCAACAGTATAGGAGAGTTTCCTTTCACCACAGCCTCGCCAGCACTTATAATTTTTTATTTTCTTAATTTTAGCCATTGTGATTGGGGTTAAGTGGTAACTCATTATGGTTTGTATATAGGTTCTAATTGAGTCTGACACCTGTAGTCTCAGATCCACTTGAGTATATAAAAATCTATATAATGACCATCCATTCTTGTATTTCTGCCAAAGAAACAGGAATATAACCTATTACAAAGTGTTCTACATAGGCTATTCTAATTTTAAAAAAAATTATTTTATTCTTTCTCGATTTGTCCCTTCTCTGAGCTCACTTAACATCTAAATAAAATAATGCTGGGCTGTATCATGGGCTATGTGAAGTGGAGAGAATATGAAAAATGGGTTTCAAATATATCCCTGATAGCTCTTAAAGCATGATGTGCAGGATTTATTGAGGAAGGGATTGTGGCCTAAGCACAACCATTTTGGTTCAATTTATAATTTGTAAAATTCTTCACCAAAGTTTGGGAATTTGGAACCATTGCTTGAACACCTGGAAGAATTTTCTGCTTTAAGTAGGTTAAAATTACTCTTAGTTTGTTTAAGTGAAAAAGATGATCAGTCAGTAATTTGTCCCAAGATCAGAAAGGGCTGCATTTTAAAAAAATGCCTCCACAAAGCTAGTATATATGATTGGGCTTTTGAGCAAGACACTAAGACTTGGGGAAAAGAGCAGGGGAGAGGGACTTGAAGGTCTCTTGCGCATTCCTGTTAGGTTAAGTTAAAGCAATTGCTTGTAAAGGAAGAATGAGTTCTTGTAAGCCTTTTTTTTCTTTCTTTTTTAAGAGGTTTTTGCTATAGGGTGCGTGCACTTGCCAGACAGACAGAGAGAGACAGAGAGATGGAAAGCGAGAAATCCCCCCCCGGTGGGATGGCCACGCCGCAATCCCCTCTCCTCCATTCTCCTCTCGGGATCTTGGGCATGCACACACACACGCTGTGCGAGAGTTTAAGCCACCGGGTCCAGAACTTGAACTGCGGTCGACTACGTGGGTGTCCAGCGACATAGCCATTACGCTAACTTCTGGGCCCTTTAAATTTTTATTAATGTATTTATTTTACATACTTTAACTGAACATCACCACAGCATACAAATGAAATTTTCTAGCTAGAATACACTGTAAAGTGGCTTAATCATACATGTTATTGTCAACAAATAATTTTCCTTTTCTTGTTTCTTGTATATATTTTTCCCCCCTATTTCTCACCCACTGCTATTTCCTACCCTCTTCCCACCCTGTCTCTGGTATCTGCAGTTTCTTTCCATTTCTTTTCAATTAGGATTCCAGAAAAGAACCCATGTCACAAAACAGCCAACATTCCAAACACCTTTGCTAGCACTAAGGGACCAACTGAATGCTTCTTCACAAGCCTGTCTCTTGAGATTCTGACAAGGGCAACTGCAGTATAACTGTATTTAAGTGATCGACAAATACCTGTATTTTGTTTTTTGTTTTTTGATAGAGTCAATTTCTACGTATGAAAAATTCCCAGAAAAAGAAGAGAGAGTTCACTTTTCTTACCTCTCCAGGGAGTAGGAAGATACCTGAGTCACAGCAACAATTATGACGTGGAAGTGCTGGGTGACCAGACCCAATACCTGTGCTGGTTGTTGGCCACTCGGGAAGGAGGAAAAGCTTACACTGTAGTGGAAGGGGGCCTGAATGCATTGCTGAGCTGAAGAGGAGCTGGAAGCCAAGTGTTTTTATCTAGCAGTTCCAGCAATGGACTGGCTTTATGATAAGAAAGTGGGGTTTAGAAAAAGGACACATGGTAGGCTAAATGGTTTATTATCAAATTTTTTCTGGAGTCTCTGCCTCTTTCTAGAAGAAGAGTGATATTTTGACTGTTATTTTTGTTGTCCCTAGTGTTACTCTTCTGTTAGCTTCTGCAGGACCTCCACTCCTAAAAATATTAACTGTTTTCTGAGACACCATCCAACAATTGGCCCCCCAATAAGCTGAAAACCTCTTGCTGTCCCAAAGGGCATGATATTCAAAACTGCCTCCAGAGGAGCCATAGCACATCCCATCATGCAACAGCACAACACCACTTCTCAGCATGAAACAGCTACAGAAGACTGACCATTGTCCCTTGTCCCACCCTCACACATTGTTTTGTATTTTTTTGAACAAAAGATAAAGGATAGACATGTTATATCAGCCCTGGAATGACTTTTAGGTAATTCCCCATCAGAAAGTAAGGAGCTGGTGGTGCAGGTGTTGGCTAGAACCCTCCCTTACTAGAAGCCAATACCCATAGATAGGCTGATAAGGTCATAGTGGCAAGTAAACTAATCAAAGTATCACCATTCTTGTGACTTACCTCTTCACCCCTCTCATCATGTCTCCTCTGTAGGCTGGGCTGAAGCACCTCTGGTTTCAGATCCCCACGTGCTTTTTCTCTCAATAAACTGTCCTTTGTCTCTTGAGATGGTGACTACTGAATCTTACTCTGAACCCTGACAATTCCTACTTTATTTGGCGTTTAAATTCATCTAAAGAAACTGATAAATCTAACTGCTTACAAAAAGTTAATGGAAATATATATTTGAGAATGCCTTGAGGAAAAAATAAATTATAATAATGACCAAAGTTGTTTTTTGCCTTAAGGTGCATTCACATGTCAGAGAGAGAGAGGGAGAGAGATAGAGACAGAGAGTGAGAAGGAAAGTGAGAAATCACCCACTATGGGGGATGGCCATGTAGCAAACCCTTCTCTCCTCTTCTCCCAGGATCTTTAGCATGCATGTCCATGTACCCGGTATCATTTTCAAGCCACTGGGTTTGGGATGCAAACCACCATGGACCATGTGGGAGTTCAGTGACATAACTGTTACACCATTTTATGGTCTTTTAAAAGTTGTTTCTGAAATCAAGAAGGTGCCATAATCTCTTCTTCTATCAAGACAATTTCTGTCTTCCTTTATTCCTATTCCCTCTGTTAAAAAAAGACCAAAAATAAATTTAGAAAAGGTACATGTTGGAAGATCAGTCAGTATATTGTTATTATTACCAAACTCAAATCAGATTTGCTTTCCCAGGTACTATAGTCCAATTTATAAGCACATGGTGTGAGGAATGTGAGAATCACACTCACCTATCCAATGGGTAGTAATAGAAATGGAGACATGAGGTATGGGGAATTGAGACTTTAATGGTAGTCTTGAAAGATTGGGTGTCTGATGGGCAGGCACACCCAAGTCAGTTACAACAAGCAATTTATTCCCTAGTATAAAGTCCCTTTCCCGGTTCCTCGTTGGCTGAGTACTATGGGGTATACAATCTCCCTGACATGACATCTTCCCCTCCATTATTAGGTATTAAAGCACACAGAGGACATGCCCACAGAAAAGGTTGGCAAAATGTCCTGAAAGGGGAGAAGAACCAGGAAGTAGCAAGGAACAAAGATGATGACCAGACACCATCTTATTTTATTTATTTATTTATTTTGAGAGGTTTTTGCTATAGGGCTCGTGCGCTGGCCAGAAAGACAGAGAGAGACAGAGAGATAGAAAGTGAGAAATCACCCCCCGAGGGGATGGCCATGCCGCAATCCCTTCTCCTCCATTCTCCTCTCAGGATCTTGGGCATGCACGCACATGCCCGGAGTGAGTTTAAGCCGCCTGGTCCAGGACTCGAACCGTGGTCAACTAAATGAGATTCCAGCGACATAGCCATTATGCTAACTGCTGGTCCTGTGACCAGGCACCATCTTGAGAAGTCATTTCTCAAGGGTTACTTGTTTAGGGTTGTGTTTGTTCTAGGAAATTTCAAGAATGTGTACTTTCTTGGGTTGTCATATTTACAAGCTAGTTATGCAACTTTTGTTAAGCTATTCTTGGAAATGATTCACTTAAGACTTTTTTTTCAAATTCTTTCTTTTTTTTTCTTTTTTTTTTTTTTTTAGAATTACTGATTACAGGACAGCAGAAAATTTTCTGTAGCAATTATATTGCTGGATTCCAACACAGCCAATTGTGGTTTGAGTTCCAGACCTGGTAGCTTGAAACTCATGCTAGACATGTGTACGTACATGCCCAAGATCCCAGGAGAATAGAGAAGGGATTGCTGCATGGTCATCTCAGGGGGTGGTGATTTCTCACTTTCACTCTCACTTTCTCTGTCTCTCTTCTCCCTCTCTCTTTCTCTAGCAAGTGCACACCCCCTAAGGCTAAAAAACTCTAAGATAAGTAAATAAAAAGAATTAATGATTTAATTTTCAGTGATGTTTTGTATTTTTGTTTCTTTTCAAATTGTCTTATTATTTGTTGGCTTTCCTCATCATAGTCTGACTTAACTTCCATCAACATAAGGTTACTTTGGTCATAGATCATGGCACAGATTTAATAATTCTGTCTTCTGTAAGCACCTTGTCAAGTCTCTGACACAAAGAAATATGCAGTACCCTATTGCTGTTAAAACTTCAGCTACAGGGAACCAGCAGTTAGCGTAATGACTATGTCGCTGGACTCCCATGTAGTCGACCGTGGTTTGCATCCCTGACCTGGTGGCTTAAGGCTCACACTGGGCACGTGTGTGTGCATGCCCAAGGTCCCGAGAGAAGAATGGAGGAGAAGAGATTGCAGCATGGCCATCCCCCCTGGGGAGTGATTTCTCACTTTCTGTCTCTCTGTCTCTCTCTGGTGAGCACATGTGCCCTATAGCAAAAACCTCTAAACAAAACAAAACAAAACACAAAAAACCACCACCACCACCACAACAAAAAACTCCAGCTACAATTATAAGGGAAGTTAGGACCATTCCCTTCCATTTCCAAACCATCCTTCTAATCAATCAGTAAATGAATCATTAATGCCTACATTTTGAGCCAATTCATTCGCCAATGTTGTAAGCCCTTGTAATGTTTTCGTAATGGTTTCATCCAGAGCAATCTTATTTGGAATAAAGATACAGCATTTCCCTCCTTACATGACACAAACTCCCACTTCCTCTTCCAGAATCATCTTTAATGCAATTTGATTTCCCCAGACTATTTACCTACTGACGTGCAATTGACTAGCTACCCACTGGTGGGCATCCCTAATATAGTTAATGAACCTCTGTTGATTGTAGTAAATACAATTAATCCAGTCTGCATTCTTGTTAATAGCAGACCACCAGAAAAGTGCTTACTTGAATCCAGCAGCTATTTCATTTCTGGCCTTGAATTCACTAGGAACTCCTTTTTAGACTCATGTTAATCAATGTATACTCTTCCAAGAATAGCTTAACAAAAGTTTCTTAACCAACTTTTGATGAGAGACACTATTTTAACTGAGGGATGAAATGTCAAGGTGAATGGAATTGCCAATTTGACTAATGCACAAGTTCCAATCCAATTGGATAACACCAGATTATGCAGAATTCTGCTTTAGCAATACCATCTAACTTCGACCTGGGGAATGTGCAGATTGGGATAGTTGTAACCAGGCTCACCAGAGACATTTAGACATCTAACAATGAATACAAATCAATAGATCTCCTATGGGTTATTAAATTTCCCCACTGCCTGGAGAGGCAAAAGGAGTGATTGATTGCTCCCGTGGAGAAGGGAAGGATCACCTGTGAATCGGGCCTTCACAGTGCAGGGAAAAGTGATGTCAGGTTTATGTAAGTTTCATTTCCCCATGGGTCCTTGTCTTGGTATAGAGCCATAATATAGTGGATTCCTGTTGGGTTTGTATTCCAACCAAGAGGAAATGGAACTACCAGCACCTATGGCTATCTTGCAGCTCATGTGAAGCAATCACTTGTTCAATGCATGAACAAAAATTTTGACCCATTCTTCCCAGGCATTTATATCTTTATATCCTGTCTTAATCTCCAGAGTTTACCTCAAATCTTTTACTTTAGTTAGTCACCCTCATGGGGTCATTCCCAGAGATTATATTATTCTATGGAATCTGAAGTAGACTTGGACGTAATTATGGTTTCATTTTTAAGTAGTCAGAGAGTAAATTGCCCCACAGGATCTCTTCTTATAATAGCTACCTCAGCCCATATACTTGGAGTGCCATCCTAAGTTCCTGATCTAGAGTAATTTGGTCATTAATAGTCAGAAGTATGGGGTTACATATTGGGTTTTGGCAGGCACCTGGTGGGTTGCCCTTAGATACGTTTATTTTAACTTTTAAGGGCCCCTACTTTGGGGTAACCCATCCCATGTTTACTGTCCATCCTTTCAATTGGGTGGTCCATCATATAATCTCAGCTGAGGTAGGGACTGGCCTCTCTGTAGCCACCATCTTATTCTAGACAGATATATTTATCTGCCTGTGACAGTTGCCTCAGATTTTCCAAATTGACACAAGAGAGTACCTGACATGCATCAAATTGGATGGTTTAGAGCATTGAGGTCTTTGTTATATTTATCATCAATTAGATAAGATATGAGATTCAAGGGTAAAAAGACATTTAACTCCAGGAGATGAGCAAGTCCTATTATGACTTGAAGGAGGCGATAGACAACATAAAGGTGAATCAAACAGAACTTCTAGAGGTGAAGACTATAATACAGGAGAGCAAAACCTCCCTTGAAAAGATTAAGAGCAGATTAGAACATGCAGAAGATAGAATTTCTGATTTGGAAGAGAAAACATCTGACTTAGATAAAACCACCAAAAAAGAAATTTTAAAAAATTAGAGAAAATGACAACAACATACGAGATATACTAGACACCATTAAAGGTCCAAGCATCTGAATAGTATGCAAAGA